ATTTTCTTTCCGCCTCTCAGTTACATTTGGCAAACCACTGTCCCGGAAGCTATTTATGAATTTGTTACCAACGAGAAAAATAAGCAAAGCAACAAATTGATCAAATAGAGAGGCAATGAAATGCCTTTCAGCATGTCGCTTTGGCTGGTTGTTGCCTGTCTCCAGGACAGCGAAAAATAGTCCCTAAGTTAGAGATACATACAGCAGTTATCTTTTACGTATCATGGTCCTCCATACAAAAGCGAGGTTCTGAGATTGAAGTATGGTCATAAAAAATATAATGTAGTACCAGGGTATACAGTGAAAATATGAACTGATGCTACTGCGGCTGAGTAAATAAAGGGAAAACTGCTGATCGCTAAAAACTGTAGGTGGAGAAATCATTAGAGTAAAAAAAAAAAAACCATATTTGAATGAGCAATTTACTGCATAATATTTCAGTGAAGCAAAACTTTTTGTGTCATGGATCACGTTTTGACAAAGATCGAGTCATATGCACCTACGAGAAGCCTTCCAGCTCTGAACAGACATCTCCAGTCTCCTTACAGTATCAGTACAATATCAACCAGACAAGTGATGAGAATAAAAGAAAAATTATATTTGGCTGTAATCAGTTGATCCAATACTAAATTCTCTGAACAAACATGTGGAGAACTGTATGGTTGACAGTAAGGAGAATTACAAACTTGGTCTGAGAGTTTAAGGGTTAAGGGTTGTGATACAGTCCTGGCCCCTCAAAATAATATCACCTTAATTTTACATGATAACAACAGAAGCAACGAATTGAAGCCGGTTTTTCGTTTGTTTTCTGTTGTTAGTGTTGTTGTTTTCATTTTGACATAAAGAAGCTCATACTACTAGAAACTTAATTTAGTAAGTCTTGCCATATGGAAAGAATGATAATGATGATGATGATAATAATAATAATAATAATAATAATAATAATGGTAGTAAACAACAGACGAAAAACACTTGAAAGAGAATAGTCGAAGTTTCTATACCTAGAAAAAAAATATGGTAAAACACTTTTCTTAGATTTTCGATATTGCGTTTGTAAACATCAGAATCGCTTCTGGTAAAATATTGAATTTACTGCCCCCATTACCTTCGTCGATGCGTTAAGTTTCGAATTTTCCATAAAGCATCAACTTGAAATGTAAATGTAATTGATGGATACACAATAGAATCAGCTTAAGCGCACAATGCAAAGGCTGCTGCGTCTGCGAAGCTTTTATAGAAATTTATTTTGCTCATAATTAGCGTAGTTTTTCCGAAGAAATTTGACAAATCAATTAAACAATGTTTTACCATTACCCTGAATTATGAAAAATGTAAGAAGCTGAGGAACAGATGACATTTCGCGCAACATTGAAAACGGAGATTTTTAAAGGAAAGTTGACTTGCGTTTCAGTTGTGTGTGTTAGACAGTCGTGCAGTAAAATGAAAAAATAAGCATTTGGACAGTATGCCTGTTTCATTCTTTCCTTCTATACCTACCGGTAATTTGAAACTTATAGAGATTTACAGAGTTGTCAAATCAGTTAAGTAAAGTAAAATTCGAGTCGCCCGATGCCGAGGCATCTGTTCTTTATGACCAGGTAACATACTTAAATAGAAAACCACTTATAGAACTATCAATCTTGGCAGTGTACTTAGCAGAATAATTATTTGCATATATAGTTGAAATACATACATACATTGAAATACCGCAAAAATACAAGACTTGTCCACACCGACCAGTGAATCGCATCATGACATGGATATCAGGCGCCTCAGTTCCAATCCTAAAACGCGGCTCCCTAATATTAAACGCACCTGCATGTGTGAGAATGTACGATTGTGCAAGCCATAAATTCAACGTAGGGGCGCAGAGGGTAGTTTCTTTGACAAAGCAATAACACCATGGTCATTCTATTCCCCTCGATGAATCGGTTATCACGAACACAGCATTAGGCAATCATAGACTACCTGAAGAACGAATTTGTAAAAACAAAGCGTTCAGCTCAAATGCTTTCTTGACTTAGCCCCGGACATTAACTTCGATGAAAACGAAAACAAACATTTCCAGAAAATATGTCGAATAAAATAATTTCAAGGGTTACGGTAACTTTACTGAACTTAAATCATTCTTATAATAATATCGCCATGCTTTAAAAATGTTTACATGGAACTTCTTTCTGTTTTTGTCAGTCCTTGCTCAAACGAAACTTTTCTTCATTAGCCTAATAATTAAGTCAGCCACTTTGATAAGAAAATGCTAGAGGAAGTTTCAGAAAACAAAGACACGATTCAGACTGAACGTGATCATATTATTATGCTGCTGAAACGCTGAAGGACGTCGGGAGAAGAGACAGAAATTCAAAAGACAAAAGATATCTACGAGAATGGAAAGCCATCTGTTACGTGCTCACAAAATATATAAAATAATTTATTGATAAATAATAGGTTTAAAAAAATAGCAAAAGTAGGTTTAGATCTTTCTTTTATATATTCATAATTTCAGCTGCCAGCGATATTGATATAAATCAAAGGACCTTTTTTTGTCGATGGAGAAAAAAAACGGAAATGTTAACTCTCTGACACAGTCTTCAGGTCGCTATGCTTGCCAGGACCTATCAAACTGACGAGGTCTGAAATCGAGGCTACGATGTTCTCACAACCTGCTGAGCGATCAAAACGTGATAACTTCAAGCAGCTGATGACCTTCGTTAGTGCTATTGATGTTTTGAACAGGTTTTCTATCATTTGGAGAGATATTTGATCTACTCTATTTTAACTACTTTCCATCCTTCCCTTTTTTTCCCGATTTCATTTGAACGTTGTAAAACTAAGGAAAATATAAACACCAGTTGGCTGTCAATTTGGTGGTCGCCACACGGTGGTATGATGTAACTTTTGGAAACTAAAATAAATGATGTGACTAGGAGTTGTCTTTGAATTGCCTTGAATTCCACCGGAATTTTCAGGATCCTTCCAGGTTAACTGAATATCAAAATCAGATGTGGCCAGCATAGCCCTGAACTCCTTCGTAAATCTATTTTCTCTAACTTCAAAATTAATTCATGACACTTGTCAGCTGTAGTAATCAATCGATCTACTAAATGTGTTGGTCTGAATTCATACCAAGAAATATAACTTTCATTTGATGTTTCCTGAACGGAATATATCACTTTTAGTTAAAGAACAACAGTCAATATCGTGTAATTGTTAGCCTTCAGACTAGGCGTGATTTTGGCGAGTGACTGCTCAGTATTTCCTTAACGAACATTATGGCCGCCATCTTTGATTTTAATAGCAGCTGAAGGCTAGGGAGAGAAAGAAATTTGTACCAAGGGAGCGGTCGTCGGTCAAAAATGAGGAGAGAGTTGGGGGTGGGGAAGAGCAGATTACGCCTCCCTGAAGTCATTGTTATTTTGAAATTGTATCTGCGTCAGCAGAGAAGGTTTTGGTGAAGCCATATTTTTTGTTGATGAAAAAAATAGCCACTCCGTTTCACCCATGCCGGTTTGCATCAAACACATTATGGCAGGTTAATCTTCACGTGCAGTCGTTTGTTGCTTCCAAGTTTCGTTTACGATCAAATGGAAGAAAATTATCAAATGGAAGAAAATTGTCAAATAGATTAACGGCAGCTATACCCAAGGATTTTCGTTTGGAAACTATTATGAGAGTGGAACAAATATCAGCTCATATTTCGGACCGCGCAGGGGGTTTTGTCGAAGCCATTTCTCTCCTTGCTGAAAAAAACTGCCTCACTGTTTCACTCACCAGCTCTACGTGTGTTTGCTTTTGTCGGAGAGCTGTCTGTTTTTAATCTAACTCATTTTGATGGTTGCCTGCTCATTGCCTGCTCTCATTTACCCCTGTAAATTGAAAAATATATATATATGTATATTAAAAAAAAAAAAAAGGTCTAGTAATAATCGTGAACGTCATTAAAGCGTCTACATCGAAAGTACCCTCATTTTTTATCAGTCAGTGCTTAAACAGAACTTTCATACTTATCCAACAGAGTACTGTGTAATGAAATGGAAAGTGCTAAAAGTAGTCTGAGAAATCTCGGACTCTTTTTAGGCTGAACACAACAATGTTTATGCTGATAAGCTCTGAAGTAAATTATAGAAAAAGGAGATAAAGCTGATTTACGAGAACTAATTTTCAAACTGAAAAATTAGAGAAAACAAAGATTATGTTTCAAATGCTGGAAGAGTAAAACTACATTCGTGCTTAATACACGTGCGTGCGTTTGGTTTTGACAGTCTTGTCTTAGCTCGACTTGGACGAAATTACCTGTTTACCAGTGCAGAACTGAAGGGCCTGATAAACATATCATACCGCGATTTGGACACAACTTTGTTTCTAAAGCTCGAGGACACTGTGAGAGAAATGGAGAAAATGTGTTGTCTGATATATTCTGCTCTTCTTGTGCTAACTAGAACCATTTACGCAAAGAGTGATGCTGGTAAGCACAATGTTTAGACTAACATCTACGTGTTTTTTCTTTTTTTTTCCTTTTTTTTTCTTTTTGAAAGCTGACTATTAAGTATGCTTACTTGTTAAAAGAAAGAAGGATGGTACTGTAATTGGCCGGACAAATAGTGCCCACCGCACTTTAGATATCGCAATGTATTCAGACTGTTCCGCGACTGCGAACGCTTGGTCATTACCATTAACGCCGTCCGTTGGGACGGCCGAACGAAAAACTGCATGCTGGAATTTAAGTCTTAACTAATTAATATTGGAATCGGTCGTGTCGGTTGGTTGTCGTTCAGCAGTCGCAGAGTTCGGAAAAAAAACAGTACGTTTAGTCGCTGTGTTTTCGTTTTCGAATTTTGTAATAGTTGTAGAATTTATCGTCGAAACACAGACACCACGAAACCATTTCAAATTTACAATCGATGCAACCATTTTTTGGTAAAAAAGCCGAAATTAAGGTTTCGTATTTTTCAGGTGAGCTAGTTTAAAAAATGGTTCAATAAATTCGTGCACAACAGGCATTGTGCTTGTTTCATACATTAGCGCTTAGGATCCAACATTAAAATAAACCTAAAATGTATTAAGAAGAATACTTATTCTACAGATCGGTAAGGAGTGGAACTTTGAAAATGGAGCAAATATTGTTCGTATGAAGCTAATCGCGTACCAAACAAAAGACAAAAACAACAGCACGTAAAAAGCGAAAAACAAGAAGCAAAATACAAAACAAAGCCAGGAAAGCAATGGATTAATTCCGATTTAGATCTATAACCATAGCGACCAAAAAGAGCTGTTTACATTCAAATACAGTTGAATAAACATTAACCTAAGTTGGTTTTGGATGATCTTTTACTCCAAAGAATATTAGTGTTGGAGCAGTTTGTTTCTGCTTCTAAACTTGCTCCCAAGGTGTTATCGGCTGATAAGGTCAACGATTAATGGATAGGGTGTGTCTTTGTTCAATTCTACTTTCAGTTCCCGTCAAGAAGAACTTCAGTGGTTCCAGCTACAATTTCTATAGGAGCAATGGTAAACGGTACAATTGGGAAACAAGCAAAACAATATGTGAACAGTATGGATATAACCTTGTTTCTATTGAGAGTCGTGAGGAGTGGAACTTCCTGAATAGAACCATCCAAAAAGAGGATACCTCTGAATACTTCATAGGTTTGTGGAGAGATACATCAACTGAAGAGTGGAGATGGTTAAGTGATAACAGCACAGTCAATGCGTCCAGTAGAGGGCAATGGCCCTGGGCAAGAGATGAACCTAACAACGGAAATGACAATGGTGAAGAGAACTGCGCGCAAATGTACAAAGATTATCTCGGTAACATTGGGCGCTATAATGATGTCAGATGCACTTCAGACAACGACAAAGCAGGATTCATATGTGAATTTAGAGGTGGAGGAGATAATAAACTTATAATTCACATTACGCGAAACTGAAAATAAGAATAAGTAAATCGTATTACGGCCCTCTCTTGAAAGTCAGTTACATCGAGGAAGAAAGCTAAAAAGATTACATAACATAGTATAAATGCTAGATAGACCGTGAAGTCACCTTGGATCCTAATATTGAGCCAATAAGGACTTCTTGTTACACAATTGGCTAAATTATTTCAATATATCTATTTATTCGTTTATGTACATATTTGTTTGTCTCTTTTTCATATATGGATACCGCACTGTTACCATTGCTTTGCGCTCCATTTAAAGTAGGATATAAAATCACAAAATTACAATGATAGGTGAATTTTCATATTCTTGTCTAGAGAAAAAATCAGCGAAAGCGACGGCATCCACCATAAGAGGTAAGTGTTGGCGTGGTAACTGTTGAAGGCTTGACCTATCCAACAGATATGTCTAGACGATGATGTGAATTAGTGCTGAATGTAAGTAAAAATAAAGCAAAGTAGCATAACTTCCCCCGACTTGCCCCTTGAAACTTCTGAAAATCTTTAACTTTAAATTTATACATATATGCGAATAGAAAAGGAACAGACAAACCTTAAACAAGTAGAATATAAAAATGTGCATACTTTTGGCTCTTTGTTCAGGTTTGTTGTTATTTACCACTTTTGTGAGCATTATCATTATTATTATCTACAAGTATTTGTGCAATTTTATATATCAGAAAAACGTTGAATTTTTATTGAAATGCTAATAGTTTATTAATAACTTTGGTTTTGTGTTCCTCTTTAATTTAGGACTGACTGATGGATCCCAGGCATCGACAACTGCTCGGGGAAAAGGACTATCTACAACTGCGACAACAAGTAAAAGCTTATCTACCCTTTTTTTTGGTTGAAATTGAAAATGCTAATAGTGAATTACTAACTTTGGTTTTGTACTCCTCTCTAATTTAGAAGGGAATGATGGATCCCAGGTTATTACTATTTTTCACGCATAGATTTATTCATTTATTTATGTAATTTTCCATATAAAATAAATTCGTAACGCACTGTTACTGCTAATTTGCGCTTCCCTTAAAAATGGATAGGCAATCATCGAAGCACAGGTATGATATACAGAAAAGAACCTTTAAAAAAATAGAAACAAAAAATTTATCATTAGTTTTTCAATTTCCATGCGTTTCATTCCTTTGTCTGTTCTGTTATTAGTTACCACCATCATTATTATCATCATTTAATTGGCTTCACAGTTTTTGTATAATTTTTATAGATGAGAGCAACGTTGAATTTGTATTGAGAATGCTAACACATGGATTTAATTAATCAAATGACTTTACTATTTTAAAAAGTTGCATCTGAACGTTTGGCTCCATGCCTTATCTGAAACAGCCTCCTCTTTTATATATCAATTAAGGGGTCACGTCAGGGAAAACCGTCACTGAACATCCCTTGGCAGACGATGTACATGCTAGCAAGCTTAATCTGGTTGTAATTGTTGTGGTGCTACTGGCCATTTTCATTCTGCTCCTTGTAGTCGCTTTCGGACTTATGTTCTTTCGTAGACGTCGGAGCCACGATAAACAATGTAAGTGCCTTTCACCGTGTTTTCATTTGTTTCATATCTAACTTTTTGTCTATCATGGGGAACAATCCTTTTCGTGTGTCTTTACATTACTTTCGTCTTCTTTACTTTTTACCTTGAGTTATCCACGTAATCAGTCAACTGTGCACAAGAGCATGTATTTAAATCTATATTAAATGTCCTTTCAATAATTGCAGCAGTTTATGCATTATTGTATTGTACACTTTTTGACAATGCTTCGAAAATAACAAAGTATAGGTTTTTGTCGAGGGCCGTGGGTCGAGGGGAAAATGTTTAGGGGCGAGGGTGCAAAATATGTCAATAATTTATTTATTTAATTGTTTATTATCACTTATGTTTCCTCGAGCGCGAGAGGTTTATTAATTTGTCGACATCCGCGCCTGGATCACGCAAAACAAAACTTGATTATTTATGGCGGTTCTTTCAACGGTCAAGAAACCTCTTTGGTGACGGGTTTTGACGGCTGAAGTATGTTAGAGAGAAAATTAATCAATAAAGTTTAGGCGATTTGGACCATGGGCTTCAAAACAAGAGCAAATTTCGAGCCATCAGTGAATAATCACTGTCTCCTTCCGCTTCTTCTCTACCTGCGTCGCGGTCGTATTTTTTGCGCCGGTTTTTTTTGTATATGAGATGTAAAGTTCGTCTATAAGTTTCCTCCGATCGAATTCGTCAAGTTCTATGAATCACGTATTCATAGTTTTAAATAAATATTTTTTGTATCTTGTGGTCGCAAAATTCCTCCGCTCTTTTCTCTTAGCCATTCGCACGTTTCCTCTTTTGAGCCTGCTAAGGGACTAAAAATATCGAGGTACTTAATCATAGATTTTCGTATTACCGGGGCAAAGAATATCTTTCTTCCTACCAAGAACCACGTTATATAGAAGTTCATGAAGTCGTGGTTTTACTTTTGGTAGGATTTTTAACAACGTTCTCTGAGCAAAGCTGAAGGTCTTTTTAATGGAAATATTAAAAGACCTCCAACAAAGATTATTTAGAAGGGAGAACGCTGATAAAAAACCCTCCATTACGAATAACTCACTGAAACACGCGCAAGTGAAATAGGAGAATGTGAGAAAGTGCTGAACGGAGAGGAAACTAGAGAGCTAACATCCTGGTATTGCTGACACTTGGAGAAAGGTGGGAAATCTTACGACCACGTGATACAAGGAATG